TCCTGCCACCCTGTCCCCACCGGGAGGGGACCTGGGAGCCACTAGTGATCCTGTCCTGGTGTCATCTCAGCTCCGGCATCCTCTGGGATAAAAGCCCTGCGGAATGCTACAGCAAGGATGAAGCTTCCCCCTTCTTATTTCACCCCAAAGGATAAACAAAAAGTCTCTCTGCGGTTGATAACCCCAAAGCTGGGGCTGCCCGTGCAGGGCAGGGATGTGTCCCAAACTGCAGCCATCTGGGAGGGAAGAAAACTGCCACCAGGCTTGTGTCCTGACAGGGAAATCCAGCCCCAGGGAGCTCAGTCCCAGCCTTATACCAGCCTGGCACACTTGTTCCTTATGCCTAGAGAGTTTCTAGAAGGATGCAGGGACGCAGTGGAGTGGCTGGGGCTGCAGACGGCGGGGCTGTGGCAGTGTGGTCCCATGTGACATGAGGGGATGTGGGCAGAGGGACTGGAGCAGAGTTTGTGGACTGCCAGCAGCCAGAGCCCCTTCCTCCTGCTGACTCAGTGTCTGCTCTGCTCAGCGTTTGAGGCTGAAAGCGACCGCAGTGTGCCGGGAAGTGGCTCAGCCTTGCTGGGATGCCAGGGACTGGCCGGAGTTGCGCAATGGGAAGGGATGCTCTGAAATCTGTGTTCCCTCCGAGCATCGCGGCTGCTGGGCTCCAGCTCTGACCCAGCACCTTCCAGTCCCGCCCTGGGGCTGAGCCTGGTGCTGCTGGTATCACTGGTCCCTCACTGGGGTCTCATCCTGTCACTGTTCACACCCTGATACCGGCAGTTTGCCCCTTTTGATGGAGTCATGGCATCCTTCTGTGCCCTCCAGGCAAGGATTGGGTCCCTGTGGTCCCAGCCATACCCCACTGCCCAGAGGTGGCCACGGGGCAACAGCCACAGGTCCAGGCAGGATTTTCAGGCAAGACCTGACCGCAGCTCCATGTGCGTGTCAGAAACGATGTGCCTGGTTAACAGTGGGAGGGTTAAAAACTACTTTTATGTTCTTGAAGCGCCTCCTACTCTTATTCTGCATCTTCCAAGGTTGAAGGGGGAGAAAGAAAGAGAAAAGCCCCCCATCACCTTCCTCTAGCAGCTGGGGTTTGAGCCCAAACCCCTGCCTAGGGGCTCGTTCGTGTTTGCCATAGGGGATTTAGTGGCCGTGAGGGCCAGGGAAACTCCAGAGGGGAGGGAGCAGGGCAAGCCCAGCCCCGGGGTTACTGCCTGTTATCCCTGACCCGAGCTGGAGTGGCCTCTGCTCCGGGTGCTTCACTGCTGTCCCCGGGGGAAGCCATTCCCCTCTTGTCTGGCCCCCACTGATAAGGGGCCGGGAGTGGCAGCGGGGAGAGCCAGCCTGGAGCCAGCACCCAGAGCCAGGCTCAGCCCCACTGATGGGGATTTCACACGCAGATCTTGCCTGTGGACTTGGTGGCAGGTCCCAAACAGGTGGCAAGGGGACAAAGAGCTGTGCTGGAGGGTGACAGCCTCAGCCCCCATCCACGGGGTCAGGAAGTAATCCTGATGGCACTGAAATCAGCAGAGCTCTGTGTGCTCCCAGAGCTGGGATGGGCAAGGAGGTGGGATGCTCCAGTCATATGGAGCTCATGGTCATGACTGATGTGATACTGGGTGTCACCCAGGGGAGGTGACACATGGTGACCTCCATCACCCAGGCTCACCTCTCCCCACCACCATCCCCAGAGTGGGCGGCAGGAGGGGGTTTTAGCTCTAAAACCCCAGCTGATGTGTTCAGACAGCTCAGATCATCCCAGATGAGGCAGGGGCAGGCAGACACCCCCAGCCCCCTCGAGTGCCTAGAGGGGGTTCCAAGCCCAGGACAGTGCTGGCAAATGCCTCTGCTGTCCTGACTCAGCAGCTCTTCCTGCTGAGTCAGCAGACACGGCCCTCATGCTGTCCCACAGAGCCCGTGTGCTGGGGTGGGCACCCACCACCCCCCTGGGGCCACGGCTTAGGGGGCCCAGAGCTGGTGGGGACACCCCCAAACTCCCCAAAACCGGCTTCACCCTGCAGAGCCAGGGATTTCCAGAGGCACTGAGGGAGCCTGAGTC